TTGTCATGTTTTCAGCATCTCTGATGCTGCTGTGAGCAACATGGTCAACAGAGCATGAAATCAATTATTTCACTGTGTATGAAGCCTTGTATCTGTTGAGAGATGTCTGTGAAATATGAAGGCATACAGAATAAGGGATGAAGAGCAGGCTGTAAAAAAGCCCATTGATGCTGGACTGTCAGTAAAGGAACAGCTGAAGAGTGCCATGCTGACCACTTTCCAAAGGGCACACAGCAGATCTCTTGGATCAGAGCCTGTCTGGGTGCATGTCACTGGGGCAGTTAAGCACCCAACCAGCTGGGTTTAGCTTTAGGCTGCTTTGCAGGAATGGGGTTGTTTGCATCCTGGCAGTGTTCAGGGGGCTGTAGCTTGGAGCTGTCTATGGGCACTGGAGGTAGGCTGGTGTTGTTAACCTACTCTGGGGAAACTGCCTGCTTGCTTGCAGCTCTGCTGGCTTGCTCCTGGCTGCCAGGTTTCCTGGGCTCCTCCTCAGGGAGCCAGTGCCTCTCCTACATTGTCACTGAAAGGATTACATGCAGCTTTAGTTGAATACAGCTCCAGACTTCTCTCTGAGAGTGCCATATTTTAAAAACTTGACCTTGCATGTCTTTTCTTTTTTTAGTAGCTAGGTAGAGTTTACTGAAGGGCTGAAGCAGCAGGGTTCAGGTGTTCAGGGGACTCTCCTCTTCAGATTGAATTAGTGACATTTGTCAGTGCTCTCCTGCACACAGCTGGGAGGGGAGGAGGCAGCATGGATCAGCTTGGTTTGGATCTTTCTGTTGTTTTCAGGAGAGGGAGAGGACGATGTTTAAAAAAGGTCATAAGCTCCAGTAATTTTCTTTTGTATTTACAGGCTCCAGTGAGAATAGTGGCTCAGGTCTCTTTGCCCTTTGTACTTTGGATGGTAAGTCCTGCCACTGTCCTGGAAGAAGACCTGTGGGGCAGCCAAGGCCTGTCACTAATTCAGAGCAGGGAACTAGGGGCTCAGTGCTTTTGATTTTTAAAAGAAATGGAAGCTGGGCTTCAGAAACTCTTCAAGGGTCAGGCAAGAGAATTTGATTCAAAGACTCCTGCTGACACATTTTATATGGAAGCACAGAGAGCACAGTGAGGCTAGATGCTTGTTTATGTTCCACCCTCTCATGGCCAGTGCCCCCTGCCCAGTACAGCCGCAGTATATCTGGATAATGGGAGCGTGGTAGGTGGGGTCAAGTGTCCAGTATGGATTTAGCAGCCAAGACCATGCTTGTGCTGTTAGCAACTGACTCTCAGCAACCCTGAGTGTTGAAGGAGCAGGGCCTAGTGTTAGCAAGCGTCTTTTCTCTCTTTTATTGTTTTCAAGACAGTTGTTTTCTTTGTTCTTCAGGAACACTGAAACTGATGGAGGGAGCAGACAAGCTGCTCTGGTCTGTTCAGGTTGATCACCAGCTCTTTGCCCTGGAAAAGCTGGATGTTACTGTGAGTATCTGAGTAAGGCTGGGAGAGATGAAGACAAAAACTCAGCATGGCTTTGTGTATATGAATATAGAAAGGGCAGAAGGAGTATGGCTCAGCTGGAAAAGGCTGAGATTATCTCAGGATGACACAGAATGTTCTGCCTGTAGCAGTACATTCTGCACTGAGGTCAGTCTGCCCAGCTGCAAGAGAATGAGCTGTGTCTGCCTGTTAGACCCAGCATCCATTTATCCATTTATAAACTTTTGTCCCCCAGCTGTTCTTCAGTCTCACTGCAAAGCTGAATGGTTTTGCTCACTGCTAATACCCCGATTGTCTAAAAGCTCTTTCAGTACGCAGGGATTGCCATATAGAAGAGAGATGAGCTCCAAGTGCGAAATACCTGGATGAGATGTCCAGAAGTGGCATCTAGACATTAGTGTTGTGTCTCTGAACCAGCAAGAAAGAGTCTTTGCTGTCCTTGGGAGTAGGTGACATCTGTGTAATGTGCAGTCCTCCCTTTCCTGCAGGGCAATGGGCATGAGGAGGTGATTGCTTGTGCGTGGGATGGTCAGACGTACATCATCGACCACAACCGGACTGTGGCCAGATTCCAAGCAGACGAGAATGTCAGTGCCTTCTGTGCAGGTGGGAAGCCTGACTACAAAGCCAGCCATCACAGCATTTTCCCCTCAAAGCTACTACTCCCATCTAGGAGACCCAGATGTTCTGTCTGCCTGAATAATTTCCCTGTGTGTATATTGCAGAAGGCCCAGCTAGTCTTTCCCCTTAGTGCCATCTGGGAAAAGTAAGGGTGAGAGAAAGTGATACTGAGGCTTGTCTGTGGTGGCTTGCGGGTATTTTGTCCTTTTTGGAGGTACTACAGTTGACTCTTGTCCTCCACACTGCTTTTTTAATTTGGAGACTTTTAAGCTGTTCTTAAGTGGAGATAGGGAGCCCATGGAACCAGCCTGAGTTTTGGCTCTGCAGGTCTTCTCTCAGACCTGCAAGAAGCAGCTTGCAAATCCTCAAGCTTCATGCTGCTCAGAGATAGCTTCTTGGATTGTCTCAAAGGGACTTTATCTATCCAGGCTCATACCTCTGCCCAGGTGGTTGCTGTTTTCTGCTAACAGCTTTGGTACCTCTTCATGAAATGTGAATTATTTGCTTTCTCTTTCCTTTTGGGAGTAATCAGATCTCCACACTTCTGCTTTCTGCAGGCCTGTATGCATGCAAAGAGGGGAGCAACAGTCCCTGCCTTGTTTATGTCAGCTTCAGCCAGAAGATCTACATCTACTGGGATGTGCAGCTGGAGAGAATGGAGTCCACCAACCTGTTGAAAATCCTGGATTCTGATCCAGAGTTTGGAAGTCTGCTGCAGCAGCTGGGTATAGGTGAGTGCAGAAAGAGCAGAGGATGTACAGAACAAAAGAGAGAAAGGGCTGCTGGCAGATGATGTGCTGGGAACTAGAGTATTTCTTGAGGAAGAGGCTTTCACAATGCCTGATGAGAATGCCTAACAACTGGTTTTCTGTCTTTTCCTTAGATAGAAACGATGTTTCTGCTGTCAAAAACCTGATTCACAAAACACTCTATTTTCCTGAAAAATACCATCTCAGCAGCCCCTCACAGGATCTTGCTGGAACAGATTCTTCTGCCCACTGCAGTGGCATCCAGGATCCCTCATAACAAGAAAGCTGACATCTTTAATGCCAGCACAAGCTCTTCTGCAGCTGGATTTGGGCATCTGATGAGGATGACTATTCTTTCCCTGTCTTGTCAAAACTTCCAAACAGGAAAGGGTCTACAGACTGTGAAGGGTTGTTCTTGGCTATAGGCTTGCCTGTATGTGATGGTTTGGTCTGCCCTTAGCTGAGGCAGCTACAAGAACAGAAAGGGCCAAGGATCCTGCACATAGGCCTTCTGTTGCTGGTTTCCATATTCCTCACTAAGTGAAGTGCTCCACTGGTCACTGTGAAGGAGCCGTGAGGTCACAGATGGAGAGAACAACTGAGCCAAGTCTCCATTTTGACCTATTCTTACAAGTACTTGAGTGAATACTTCTGAGTTCTTAGCTCAGAACAGTGCAGGAATTGGGGATGGAAAAACTGATTTAGGGTGCAGGCACAAGCCTTTTCTTCCACTTAGGTGTATTTAAAGTAGAGCCATGCATTGTTTGTCTTTGCTTTGCTGCTGCCCTTCTACTGAGCAGTTTCTCACAAATCACCTGTTCTGAATAGCTGGAGATAGGCACAACTTGCACTAATAAGGTGTGGAAAGATAGCAGCTCCAGCAAACCCAGCTCTTGTCAAGAGTCATTGCTTGTCTCCATTTTCTTGGGCAGGGTGATCCCAAAGAAGGTTGTGACTTAACAGAGCGGCTGTGAAGTGATCAGTAAGACCAGTCTGACTTAACTGTGGATCTGTGGTGCTATGAGAGCTTGGCCTTCCCTCAATAAACTCTTGCCTCTTCTTGTGGAGAGTGTCATGCTTTGAGTCCTGCATAGCTGAAGGAGGTGGGCTGGAAGTGATGTTTCACTGGCTGGTACGAGGAGTCTGGTAAAGGAGAGCTCATTTGCAAAAGCCTGGCATGAACCTTTCCACATGCTGTCGTTATTGTGCTTTTCCCTCTCTTAGCTTGTCCCTTTTCTAACTCAGCTTGTTAGGAAAGGCACAGCAGACTTACCTGCTGGCTGGTATCGATTATCCCCTTTCACTTGTATGATGTTTTATTGGATATGTGTGATGGATGGAGCTGTCCCTTTGCCCTTACAGCAGCCTGAGTCACAGCAAATACAATTCAGTGATCTGGATCAAGTGGCAGCATTTAAAGATCCTGCAGGCAGTTGAAAACCTGCTGTGCTTTACTCTGCAAAATATCCAAGGGCAGTCCTAACTGGGAGAAAATGCTTTGTATAGAGAAAAGGAGTGTCTTGCCCTTGGGTCAAAGTGACTGTTGTTGAAGCAGCCCTATGTGGTAGAAGGGCAGGATCTTTACATAATAAACCTTAGCTGTTCTTTGCAGTCTCCCTCCGTAGATTTATATAAGCTTTCCAGAGGACAGTGCTGTCCTCTGTGTTTGATAGCAGTGGAAGTTGGAGCATGGAGCAGTGAAATGGTGTGACCTGCTCTGTACCTGCTAGCTTGCTTCTCAGGCCACTGTATCTTCTTACTCTCTAACTGCAGTAGAAATTTTTCTCCATCTTAATGGCCTTGCTGAGAAGCATTTTTAAATGTCATATTAAGTGCTTGTGTAAAACTGGACCCTTCAGGCAGGACCTTTCAAGTAATAATAGAGCTTATTTGCTGTGGTGTTGAGAGCAGCAAGGTTTGAATCTGTGAGCTGTGGAGAGCTGATACCACAGGGACTATCTACTCATGGACTAAAGCAAGGAGTTTGTCTTGAAACTTGTCAGACCTAGACTGTAACCTCAACAAATTGTCAGCTCTTGTGACATTGAGTTGTGCAGCCACCCAAACCAATAGGAACCATTGCTTCTGGCAAATAGGGCCTGGCAGGGGAACAGGATGGCCTACACTCCTAACAGAACAACTCAGTGCTGTCTGTCCATGCCAAATATAAACCTTTATTAGCAACACCAAATATAAACCTTTATTAGCAACACAAGCGCAAGGGGTGTACAAATGGGTGCATATGGCGGGAACTGTTTTGTACAAAACAAACTTTGCTGTACAGATTGAATGATTTCCAAGAAAGGAAGGTCAAACTGGTCTACTGTTGGACTATTAATTTTTGAGAAAGAATGGGAAAGGGTTACTGAGGGAGAGATGATACTTTTTCTAAGAACCATCTTTAAAAGAAAATGGGGTAAAAGTATTGCAAATGTTGGGCAGGGCCATTTGTGCACCCCAACCCTCTTTTGCTGGCCTGAGGATAACATTGCTGCGTGCTGTGCAAGCCCAGGCAATGCACACTATGAAAAGCAGAGGTGAGAAAATACAGACACTACAAAAACATCTGTTCCCCAAAACTTTTCAGCTCTTAAAAACCATTGGAGAGGAAAAATACTAACATTCAAGGGCTTCCCCTGACAGTTTTATATTGTGTGCAGCACATAATAACTTGCAGATGCATTTTGCTCCTGTGCCCCTTGTGCACAAGAGAAAATGAAAAGTGTCTACAGAAGAATTAACTGAACCATCTGTACCATTCCTTGGCCAAAAGATGGCTTTCCTTATTTTTTCCTGCCTTGAGCTCCAAGTGCCAAATACTTCCAGAAGTTTGTTATTCAGTCTACTTCCATTGGCAACAGTTTTTCTGTGAAGTGTCCATCTTAGGAAGAGAAGCCACTTAAGGCTCTGTTTCTGGAGTGATGGAGTTACATTATGCTTTCTTTGTAACTAATTGTATGTTTGTCCTTGCCAGCTAATAGAAGCCGCAGAGTTGGACTTAGAAGGGGTTCCTTCCCACACAGCAGAAAATGTTGTTTGCTGTATCCTACTCAATCAGATTGGCATAACCTGCTGGTGCTGGGAAACTTTTCAACAGGGCAGCATTTGCAGGACACCTTTGTATGTCCCAGTGCCAGCACACAGCAAGTGAGGAGTCTGACAGTATTCTCAGGCACTGGGGGTATTTGCAGATAAATGATTCATGGCTTTGGTTCTGATGCTCAATTTACTAGCAAAAAAATAAAAGGAGACGGTTGCCTTATTTTCCTGAGACATAATAAACCTGCTCTCCATCCCTGCCCTTGTTTTTATGAACTTTCTGCTATAATCTAGATATTTCTATAACTCTTCATGTGTATCCTGGCATGTGCCAGTGGAGTCTCTTGAGAGGAGGATTGGATGCAGACATCACAGGTATTAGGCTCAATGGTCTTCAATGCCATAGCTCGCCTGCTGTAAGTGAAAGAAGGAGCAAGCCTCTGGGAATATGGATGGCTGCAGCTCCCATTCTGTTGAAAACCAAGTGACCCCAAGCTCCTGGAAGTGGTCCTGATTATGGCTTTGGCAGAGTGCATGTTCTCAGGAAGGACAGAAGTCCTTCTCCATATCCCTGGGTGTATTGCACACTGTTCCAGAGACTTGCTATGGCAGGTGTTTCCCTGCAGACTTTTCCACAACTGCTGCCCCCACTCTATTAGAAAACAGCCCTGATAGGCACTGGCCACCAAGGTGGTTCAAAGAGATTATCCCTAAAATAATAATCCTTATTTTTACATGGGACAGGCCTCATAATGAGGAAGCCAGGATTGGACACATACAGGATGTGCCTATATCCTTCTCTGAGCTGGCAGTTAGTACTGAACTTCTGCTTTCTGTATGAAAGTATTAGGAATTTCTGATCTTCAGTGAAAAAGACCTTTAGATTATTCCTGTGTTCCCTTTATCCCCCAAAAGCAATAGAGATGACTGGATTTGGGAGTAGGGAAGTGTAGCTTTATAATAAGCTTTTCCAAGAGAAACTACAATGAAGACAGCCTTCAGCCTTGCCAGCCCACTCAAAAACGTACTGTGCTCCCCAGTGTTGGAAGACTTAAAAATTACTATGTAGGTAGATGGGAGTTGAGTTTGCTTCTTTGAGATGTTGTAAGTCCTATTTTACCATCACGTTTTAAAGCCAAGACTTGTTTCTTTCACAGTGGAGGCTGTGCTTCAGATGTAATGGCACAAAAATGCTTTGAAGAAAGAAAAATGTCTTTGGGCTAGAATTCAGAATACACATGTCAAGTGCAGTAACAGTGTGTCATTTTATGCCATGTAACTTGGGGAGATGAAAAGCCACCAGGAGCTGTGCTGGTGAGGAAAGCAGGTACTGACCCTGTAGGATTTGACTGATGCAGTGAATGGGTTGAAGTGAGGTGTCTGCCATGGCATCATGACCTGCAGTTCTCATTTAGTTGTATAAATGGGTTTTTTTCTGGAAGCTTTGCCTGCAGCAAAGCTTGATGGGGAGGTTCCAAGATAACTGTTGGCAACAGATTCCTCAATGTCTGGATGAAAGAGACTCCTACTGAGTTGATCTGTGTGTATAACTGACATGGACAGGAGGAAGGTGAAGGGCATGTCTTCTGCCCTGATTTCAGAGTTGAGAAAAGAACTCACACTAATTTAGTGCTTTCTTGGAAACATCCTCTCTGTGACTGAGAATTTGTACATGCAGTTGTTTACAACAAAGAGAAAAGGCTGGCAAGATTGCAGCACAATGTGCAAGTGTATCAGCAACCAGGGTACAAGGCAAGTGTTAAAAGGATTCTCTAAAAAGGAAAGAATTCCTTTTTGAAGGAAATTTGTCACCAGTGTGAGTGGAAGGAAAGGAGGATAGGAAGGAGTCATTAAGCAGAGAAGAGAGGAGTAGGGCTAGAGATTTTCACCTACTGCAGCACATTAATTCACGGAGGAGCCCAAACTGTTAGTGGTTTAGGATATGAGGCATGTGAACCACAGAAAGGCTTCAGAAAGTCTGGAGGAAGTTCTGAATGTGAGCAAAAGCAGTTATTCCAAGACAGATGTGTAGGAACAGCACCTGGTGAATTCCAGCAGCAGCTAGTGTGCAGGTACCTGCCGGGCTGCAAGTGACAGGCAATAATCAAAACAGAATTGTCAACTCAAAGTTGTGGCGGTTTTCTGTAGGATCCCATCCAACACTTTTTAAATCATTGGAAAGATTCCTGTTGGCTTCAATCTGAAAGCTGTTACTCACCTACACCCTTGCCCTAGCCAGGGCCCAGCTGCAAAACTGACACCGGGCACTGCTCCTAGAAGGAAGTGGCCAGAACTTAGAGCTGTTGGTGGCCCTCCCCTTCCCATGCACTTGTGGGCACCAGCAAAGCCCAGCAAAAGTTGTCAGACACTGGAAGGCAGCAGAGACCTGCCTGGGCATCAGCAAAGCCCAACAAAAGCCCTGTGGTGCTCCACATGGAAGCAGGGCCCCATACGGGCTTTGCAAAGCCTGGCAAAAGCCCTGGGATGCTCTGACAGGCAGCAGGGCCCCTTGCAGGGCAAAGCAAAACTCAGCAAAAGCACTCTAGAGGGAAGCAGGGCCCCTTGTGGAATGACAAAAGCCATCAGATAGGGTTAGATGGTTGTGGTTAGGTGTAGGGTTAAGGATATGTTTAGAGTTGGGGTTAGGGGTTAGGTTTTGTTATATGGTTTGGGGTTTAGAGATAAAGGTTAGGTTTAGGCCTTGGAATTTAGGTTTAGGGGCTGGGGTTAGCTTAATGGTTAAAGTTTAGGGTTGGGGATTATGGTTAGGTTTTGGGATTAGGGTTTATAAATTAATGTCTTTAGGTTTTTATTTTGGGTTTAAAGTCAGATGGTAGATGTTTGATGTTAGTGTTAAATTTAGGGGGTTATGATTAATGTTAAGTTTTATAGTTAGAGGGTGGTGATTTGATTTAGGTGTCAGCATTAAGTTTTAGAGTTTGTTTTAAGGGTTAAATTTAGGATTAGGATTTAGTGCCTTAAATTTTAGATTTAGGATCATTGTTAGGGTTTATTGTTTGGGTTAGGGCTAAAATCAGCTTTTAGGTTGTGGTTTAGAGGGGTTTTTTAATGGACTGTAGAAGTTAATACGATTTGTGGTATCTGTATGTGTAGATTATTTGCCCTTGTTCTACATGCTGTTTTTAGAGGGCAATGAGAGTTGGAAACTGAGTGAGTTGATGCATATAGAAACAGGTGTTCTGTCTATCACAAGCAAGATTTTGTCAGCAGAATTGGCCCAGACATAGCCCAAATAGACTGCAGCTAGAACACAGGATGGCTTAGTACAAGTGTGAGCTGCCTAGACCCCTGGGTTTGAGAAGCCAGTCAGGCATGCAAGTGATACAAATCCAGGAGGAATTACTGCTACTTTGGAAGACAGGCTCATTGAGTAGGCATGCTTTCCTGACTAAATGAGAGAACCGTTGGTGCCACTCGAGAGATTCATGGAAAGCAGTTCCTGCAGCCAGAAATAGTCAGATGCACAAGTAGAAGAGTGGCAGAGAAGTCAAGGAATGTATCAGCAGCTGCAAGATATGATGACTAACAGTAAAAGTCTGATGCTCCTTGTAGGAGCAGCAGATGCCAGTCACGCCAACTATCACTGGTATGTGAATCCCAAATCATATCAGCCAAGCTTTACTCTGATGTCCTTAGCATGTGTTAAACTACAGTGTACAGCTGTAGGGAAAAGAACTAACCAAAAAAAAAAAAAAACAGAAATGCATGCACACATTTTTTTTTGAGAAGCACAACAAGGACAATGAACATTTTGATAAGAGAGTCAGTGGTGTTTAATCTAGGAAAATAGGCAAAATGGGGTTGTCATAGAATTTTAAGGGTGGATAAAGGTACATTTTGCAGTTTGGATAGTGAATCAGTAGCCATGAGGCATGGAAGAAGCCCTGATCTAGTGGATTTTTCCTAGAACTAGTTAAGAATTCGTTATGTATTTTTAATACAGCTATACTTGAATATAGAAATTAAAAAAAAATTAAATAAACCCAACTGTTAAGTGACTTAATAATCACCTTTAACATTTGAGATGAGTTCACAGTTCTCTAACCTGAGCTGATACTACAAGTTCTCATTTTGTGCAAGAGAAGCAAAGTTGATGGGCCAGGACTCAAGGCTGATGATGTGTCTGTGTTTAACCACTGGATTTCAAGTTGAAAGAAAGGAGCTGACAGAGCAGAAGACTTGGTACTGTAATTAATGGCAGCATTTAAACTGAGTGATCTCCACTGAAGCAGTGGAGGGAACAGGGATGCAGCTCTAGCAGCTGGAGTGCAGAGTGGAGTGGCCTGGCCAGAAGAATGGGGTGTGCAAGTCTGGCTACAGGGTATAACACCAAGAGATGGTAAGCATTGCCATCCATCTAATATAGCCTAATGCCCAGGAATGTAATGGCAAAGCCCAAGCCCCTGTCAGTGCTTTAGGCATCTGCACTCAACATTTCTGCAAAGGTTTCTTAGAACTGAGAACTCTAAAACTGTTTTTGCCACAAAGTTTTCCCAAGAAAATACTTCTGTTCTGCTCTGAGCCAGCAAAAAGCAGCAAAATCCAGCTTCCCAGAGTACAGGCAAAGGGAACAGAGCCCTTCCAACAAAGAAATAGGACTGGTGTACGCTGGCATTGAGGCAACAATAAGAGAAATGTTCGTGGTAATCTTTGAAGGTCTTTGGAGAAAAAGCCGTTCTCCTGTCAATAGAACAACTGGAGATTGTTCACAGAGAGTCTCTTGTGAACAGAGTGTATTGTAAAGTCATTAAGGGATAACAAAAATTTATTACAGAACCAGAAATTGGAGTGACTAGGGCCAAATAGCAGAACAAGAACAAAATGTCCACTCGGCACATCAGGACAAGAGGGTCCACTGAAAGGAGGGATATCTCAAGTTGAGGCACTCCCAGTGACAGCTTCCAGCACCTGCTTGCCTTTTTCTCACTCGCCATTGAATGCCTCAGCCTAGAACTCAGCAAGGTTAGGGGCATGGGAGCCTCACCCTCATCTCTCTCTCGTGGCAGCAAGTCTCCAGATATGGGAAATGCAGCCGGTCACTGACCAGGCTCTTCAGAGGCATGTAGAAAAGGCAGCTCCTGACTCAGTGCTTTAAATCTCAGGACGCCTTCCTCCAAGTCGATGCAACACTAAAGAAGGAGAGAGACAGTTATTTGCTGGACATTTCAGATAGTAAACCTCATGATGTTTATCACTGAGGAGAGCCCATAATACCTCCCTGGGTTTGTAGAGACCTTAACAGTTTTCCTTCCCTGTCCCATATGCTGCCTCCTTGCTCCAGTTCCCCATAATGTGATTAATCTCCAAACTCTTCACAGGGCCATTTCCCTCTCTTCTTCCTATGACCCTCTCTGAGTTCATGTCCTCACATCACTCAGCCATTCAACCCATTGTTTTTCCTGTTTTATGAGCCTGACATGTGGCCACAAATGAGTGACAGGCATGAGCCAGCTTGCTGCAGCCATATCCTGAGCCACCCAGGAGCCAGGCTCAGCAGAGCACTGACCCTGAGCTAAGCTGACAAAAGGAGAGGACTCTTTCTACTCATGGCCAGCGAGTGTTGGACACTGAATGTGATCATACAGCTTCATTTGGCTTAAAGCAAGGGCAGAGCTTGTTCTCATCTGCCTTCAAATTGCAACATGGGTCTAACTCGTGCCTTGTCTCCAGTTTCCTCTTGCTGCTTGCAATTTGTGTGGTCAGGAATACAGAGAAGGGGAGATGTGATGGTATCCTACTGAGTGTTTTCTTTCTTAAAGCCTTTAAGAAGGACTGGAAAGGAATCAGTGACTCAGAGCATACTGCACCCAGTCAGGCAGCTGTGCAACAAGCCTTGCCATGAGAGATCTGGGATTTTTTACTATAAAGTAATTCTGATGCTGCAACAGCCAAATCTTGGGGAGCTTCCTGAAAGGAGCTCTGCAATATGAAAGAGCTGTTCCTTACCTTAAGAGACAACAGAGTCTGGAGGCCAATGCAAAACTCGAGCATTTCATCATCTGAGAAGAGAGAAGAGACTGATTAGGCTTTAGATTATGTAATACTGCCTCATTAAAGACAGTGTGTTTCTCCTGTAAAAGGATATGGAATTCAAGAACATCTGATTCATTAATTTTTATGGCTATCATCTCTTCAGTATAAAGCAGATTAAAAATGACAAGGAAAAGGACGAGTTAAACACACCAGCATTAACAAGCAGATGGTAACAGTGACAGTAATAAATCAGCACTCTTCTGCCACTCACTGCTGAGCCTTTAAAGGAGATGTTTAAGCACAGTCCTGAATATGGTCAAAACGAACTTTGCAGCTGATAAGAGAAGGAAATGATGTTTATCATGACTACTGTGAGGTAAATTTGAGGGGGTTTGTGTGATTGTTTGAAACTTAATATGAGATATCAGAAGGGGCTTGTGAGATCCCATAAAACTTACTATGGGCTGTGTAAGGGAAGGACAAAAGGCAGAAGGCAAGCAGCAGGGTCAATCAGGGGAGAACAAGTATAGGAAAACGGAGAGGAGAGGGTCACATGCAGCAGGCTATTGGTTCAGTTGTTGACCAAAGCCTGCACCTAATGGCTGCAATCTATATGATCTTATAAAATAATTTTATTAAGGTTTTTTTTTTCCATGTAACTTGTCTGTCCTACTTGTAACTGCTGCAAATCTTCAGTGTCAGAAAACAGAAAAAGCCAGGGGTTAAAGTGGTAGCTAAGGAGGAATTCCCACATCCTGGAATCTGCAGGAATCAGCAGCCACTTGTAATGTCATTAACACTTCCCATGCCTGCTGGTGGCCTGCTTGCCCTGTGACCAGTGGCTGCAATTTATAATTTATTTATAACCACATAAGTGAGAGCACTGTGTGCACAAGGAAATGTAAGGCACAGGTATAGCAATTCTGCTCCTTCCAGGCAGCCATTTCCACGTTCCAACAAAGTGGGTAGTAGATAGTAGCTATGGAGTAAATTCACTTGTGCTGGTACTGATACAGATTGCCCATGAAGGACAAGAACATGCAGAGCGGAAAGCAGGAAAGAAGAGCAAGTTGGAGTGTGTAAGAGAAGGAAGCTCTTTCTAGATGACTTAGAAATGTGGGAAGAATGTAGGAAAGAGGGAGCAGAGGAGGCCTTGGAAGATGAACAGGGCTCATCGAAGATGGGGAAACAGATTAAAGGATGAAGGTAAAGCTGGAAGACTAATAGGGAGAAAGAACAGGGAGAAAAAAAGACAGCCACGTTGTTTTTAGCATATGCACAGCTTGATGTAAATACAGAACATGAAGCCTTTCTGCTGTTTTCTGGGCCTGCCTCAGTGCCTGCTGGGTTGACCTTGTCTCCTATGGGTCCTTCCTTCAAAGGGTCCTGCTGCAGGACTCTGAAGGAGACTCAGCACTCTGGGCATTCCAGGTTCTTCCAGGGTGCTCCCTGCAGCAGAGGCAGAGGAGCACACAGAGAAGCACTCTAGGAAATAAGCTGTACCCTCTGTTACTTTCTGTGATGACTTCCAGCCAGCCATTCCATACAGGAACATAAGGCACCAGTGGATTAATCAAGCCATCTTCAGAATTTTATGTAAGGTCCATTTTAGAATCAAAATGGGAATTTTTCACATCCTTAGTTAAGACGGAAAAAACATCTAATTTCTCCTCACTTTCAATGTCTTCTCTGTACTCTTCCTATGCCCTTTGCCTTTGGTTATATTGAGGGTATTCACTGTGTATGGTGATCTTGGCCTGCTGTGGAAGTGGCCACATCACCAACCTTCCACCATGTTCTGCTTTTTCCAAAGGTCCTTTAAATGCCCTTGGCAGGGCAAGAGGGACACAGGAGAAACAAGGGAGAGGAGGGGCAGGCACTCTCACCTACAACCAGTGCTGAACACAGCACTGTCTCCTGGCCAAATTGCAATTCCATATGTTCTACTCTGCCAACAACGCTGGGGATGGGAAGGGAGAGGTCTCCACAATCCATGGCAGACACTTCTTCCAGCCTGTGGGACACAAGAGGTGTTATTGCCTCAAGCAGGGAAAGAGGAGGAAAACCAAGACTTGTCATTGATGGCAGTTCTTCTAGGTCTCACTGGGAACAGGCCCACAAGAGAGGGAATCTCTTTCATACAGTATGTCTGGAGGCAGATTCAGCAAGCAAAACCTCACCACCAGTTGGGCAGCTTTGCCTTTCAGTGCATACAGACAGAATTGCACAGCTCCGCCTCAGAGTCTGGGGTCTGCACACAGCTTTGCCAGAGCTCTAATGACTTTCCCTGTAGCCCACCCTCTCCATCTTCTCCTAAACACATGCAACACATGCAAAACTGCCAGTAATTATCACTGGCTGGGAATCCAGAGTGCCTGTGTTCTTGCCATAATTTTTCCTGTAGCCATCCCTCCCTTTATACTGTGCAAAGACTTACCCCAGCTGGTTTAAACACTTCTTGGAGATGAGGTTTGGTAGACACCCAGTGTTAACAGTTGCTTTCAATACCTCACCTTGGCACTAGAATAAACAACAACAGATAATTACTGTGAGCTCAAAATTAGCATATTCACTCCTCCAACAGTGTGACTTGGACTTTCTGAGCAACATAGCCAAGATGGGGTGTTTTAGGCAGTAGTCAGAAGGCAGGAGGTTCATCCAAGACAATTGTGTGGTTTCCCCAGTGCTCTTCAAATCGCTCTTAAACATTTATTTTTTGAATTTTTATTCCTTCTTTTGTATTTGATTGCCCAGACACTTTTCCTAGTGACTTTAACTTAACAGTATTCCAGTCAAGAGATGCACAGTTAGAGAATTTGTTCATAAAACCCACATGGGCTTTGTTAGCAGAGCAGTAAGTAATATGCGAAAGTTTCTAAAGGAATACAAGCATATGTTAATTTTCCTGGGTTTCATCTCCCCATTTCTTCTGGTGTTGCAGGGAACAATGTCCCAGAGCTAAGTTTGTTCTCAATAGAAAAGCTGCCAGAGGGAGAAGTCTGAAGGAGAAGCAGGAGCACCCAGAACAAACACACCTGAAATGAGCTTGAATTTAAGGCAGTTCCCAAGATAACTGGCAAATCCATGTGACTCCTGAATCCAAGACACAACCTAATCAAGAGATGACTATTTAGGTGTAGGTCTTATTACATGTCCCCGTATAGCTTTTTAAGGATATAAGATCTCATATTACAATAGTCACAGCTGGTGTCGTTTAGCAAAGGGGGAGACTGTGCCCTGCACTCAAGTAACCCATGCATGATTTTACTGAAATAGTTCCCATTGCCTTGCTCATTTAATTTCTTTACCCCTTTGAACATGAAAGGGAAAAGGAGATGTGGTTGCCATCTCTTTTCTGTCCCCTCTGCAGAGAGGTCCTTAATGGCAGGCCTGAGGTGATGGGGGAACAGCAGGTTACATTTATTGTAGGGGTCTGAAAACATAGGGTCATCAAGGACATTGATAGAAATTAGGTTCAGAAAAAAAGAAAAAAGGAGGAACAGGACTTAGTAAAGGAACTGGAAAAAATGGACTAACTTTCATCTACAAAATACATCTTTACCTATGGTGCCTAATCATACCTAATCTTGATGGCCTAGTTCTTCAAGGCTCTGTCTTACGCCACCACCCAAAAAAAGCCACCCCCACCCCCTCAGTTTTCTTTTTGGGAGGCTCATTGCATTCCTACTATCATTTGTGTTTGTCCTGTGATTCCTTCTCTCCCATCCACTATGGCACTGTGGGACATGAACCACTCAGAAGCAGCAGCAGACCTGCCACTTCTTCTCTACTCTTATGCTCAGTCCTGACAAGTTTAAATGCTTGAACACCTTAAGCAGATCAGCATAGCTATGAAGGACTCTGTGCAGCACCAGCAGGGTCAAGGAAATGTCTCAATTTCCTGATTCCTTATCTAAGCCTGTTTATGATTATTAATCATCACAGAGAGCTACATCCAGTATTTCCAAGATTTCATTTTCAAAAATGTGCTATCTGTGAGTAGTCAGAAAGAAGAAAGCAACTCCTGTGAGAAATAGGATGCTGCAAACAGACGACACCAACAGGGTGCCTTTCAGCCCTAACCATTCCATGATTCTATGGCAAAATGTCTCCCTTCTGATTTGATTTGAATGTCTGTGCTGCCTGGTCCTTCCTGACACATCAACCCTGCCTGAATAGGCTGTGGCCAGACTAAGTAGAGAGGCAAGATAAAGCACAGAGTGCAGGTGCATGCCAAACATCTGTCTCCACATCCTCTACTCAGAATCAAGACCTGAAACATGGATAGCAATTGCTAAGGAATCACTTGGGAGCAACAGACTTGAGATGCATGAGCTGCTGTTGTTATAATAAGCCTAAGCTGTATCACTAGGCAGATTACTGAGTTTTATTTCAGAGCAGGCTGGGAAATCTGCAAGTTAGAGGCTTGATAGGATATAACAGGACAGTGATTATTCTGTAGAAAACAACACTAAATCTCATTCAGTGTAAACAGCTCTTCACCACTAATCATTTCCCTAGAGAATTCACCAGGAGCCTGAGGAAAGTCCTTGGTCCAGCATACCACAAATACAATGCAGGCAGCCCATAAGTACTGCAAGGCTTCTTGGACTAGGAGGACTTTTCCTAACTTTACCCACTCTCATCTCTACTCTAGAATTTTCAGTCTGTTACTACCAGTCATGTTTATTTTTTATCTAAATGTCATTTATGGGAATTTCCAAAAAAGAGGGGAAGGGGAATCAGTAAGGCTCACTATTTATAAAGGGCTGTGTTTTCTGAAATTATGTCACCTCTGAAGTCAAGAAGCTGCTTTAGCAAACAAAAGGCTGATCAATCCCAGGTTGCTTTGGCATAGAGGAAAACTGGCCTTCTACATCAGTGAAATCTTTCAGCATCTCTTTCCAAGTCAACAAGAGACAAGCCCCACCACAAGAAATAACAGCTTGATTTTATGTTGCAGATGCTAGTCATGACTAGCTTTCCAAAGTGCTTTTCAGAAACTGTCACAAAAAGGGGCAATTCTGCTGAAGTACCATCTGGGCAACTTACCTAAGCAAATAGGAGGGTGAGTAACTGCAGCACAGCTATTATAGACTAGTTCTGTCTGTGTTCTCTAGGACTTAAAAGGCCTTAGACATAGAGCAACTAAAACCTGTTAGAGTGAAAACACTTACTGCCTGAATCTCCATGTATCACTGAAGTCTACATATATTCGGGTTTATTCCCTAGTCAAGTTCACTTGCAAGTCAGGTGATGCATTTGTTACCACTTTGAGATTTTCAGCATACTTGCCTATGTGTAAGCGATAGATTATCTTCTCTCAGGAGTCAGGGGAAAAAAAAACCTTCTCTGGGGCTGTGCTCCATTTCTAATAAAAACTGCACTATAATCAAGCAGATATCTGAAAGGTACCAGCTCACATCTCTGGTTCAAATGAACTGGCAGCCTGAGTCCTATTTCTTGCCACAGCTCTGTTACTGACAGGAGAGGCTTTTTGAAGTTCACAGATGTGAATATCAAAAGCAGCAAGACAAAAAGAAGGGGAGGAGAGCTTCAGTGTAAGATCAAGTGTGACAAACAGTGACTGGCTCCTAAGAGGGGCACAAAAAGAGAGAAACACCTGTGCAGAATTTAGGGAGCATTACATGCAGCATTAGACCTATTTCCTTGCTTGTGATGCTCATTAACCTTCCTCTGTGAGGGAAAATGAAATGTGGGTGGCAGCTGGGGTTCAGTCCATTAGAAACACAAAAGGGAATGACTGGTGGACTGTAACGCTGACTTAGCTACTGCCCCTGGGATACAATACCTGTACATGCCTGTCCTTGTTCAGTGTGCATGCCTGGCAAAAACCCCACCCTTTATCACCAAATTTCCTCTTGCAGAACAATAAGGAGAGGCTATTAAAGAAAAAGAAACACCTTTATTTGCTCAAAAACAAGCTCCAGGTAATTGGAGAAATTACCCTGAGAGCCATTCATCGTACAAGTCTGTCCCCAAGTGTGGTTATGTTAACCCAGCTATATTAAAGTCTAAAATGCAGGGTAAGCAACACCTAACTGCTGCACTACAGGCTGCAAAACAAACCAGAGAGTGGCTTTTCTTGGCAGTGAGATACCTGATCTAAGCCTTTCAGAAACTTGCTGCCAGGCTGTGTTCCTATCATGATCATAAATAATGAATGAATTTTCAAAGGTATATATGTTTTTCTTGGAAGTGCAGCCTTTACATTTGGATATGGGAGATGTTCTTTAGGACAGGTAACTGAATTAAAACCAGCTTTAAAATGGGTTTTGTACAACAGGTCTGTATCTTGGTGAGTCTCATATCTGCATGTTACTGTGCAGATCTAACCATCCAGTCCTCCTTCATGAGCCACAGCTTTTGCATGTGCTTTCGCTAACTGCAGGGGCCAGGGAGTAGTGTGCTCTGTATAGGAGGATATAAGAAAAGGGAGCTGAAAATACTGCTTCCATCAAGAGATGCAGCTGTGCAAATTTGGAGCATGGTTAGCCACTTTCTGAGGAGGTCCTTTGACACCTGAGAGAATCAGACTAGACTAGAAGTAGTTAAATGTAAATCAGCTTGAGGCACCTGTCTTCAAGTGATAAGGAGACATTTCTTTCTTCTCTATGCAGTTATAAAATACCTCACATCATGGGAAAGCTGGCCTTCAAAGGAAGGATATGTGATGACGGTAATTTATCTTCAAATATGGGTAACTAGAAGGTATGTAGCAGAAAGGCTTTCCTCTGGCTTTTGGAAAACCTGCATCCAGACTCTAGGAGAGGCCATGCATGAAATATCTTCTCTTTGGCTGCAGCTGGCTTTGCGATTTATAAGTCGGCATGGCCCTTGGGAGGGGGGCAGGTGGAACTCTGAGCATCTGCCATCACTGTGAAATCAGCAGCAGTGTTGTTGCCTTACCTGGCACTGTATTAGCAGGAGTGAAGTCTCTTTTCTCCTGTCCTCTCCCTTTTCCATCTTTTCATCCTGGTCTTTTGCCAGCGGAGATTGAACCCGTGCAGACTGACCCCTGGCCTCGCCCCGCAGTTTGTTCAGGTTGCCTTCCAAGAGGCGCCGCTGGACCACACTATGAGGCTGCTGTCTCCATCACAAAGAAAGAGAAATCCCAGCTAAGTATGGAGCTAAGGAGAAGGACATTTGCTAGCTCAGGGATGCAGGTTGAAAATGCTTGACCGAACTGATTGTCCTGATGAAAGACATGCTTACCCAAAAAAACTTTCTTTAAATCCCAAGATTTTTTTTTCTGTAGCCGCTAATTTGGTGTTAAAGTGTTGGGATGTCTGCAACAGGCAGGTCTCTGGGATGCAATTACTGGAGGAGAAGAACATGCCTGATGCATGCTCTCCCCATGTATCTGTTCCTTTAGCTAAACATGCACTGGAGAGTCTCATTCCTGTTCAGGCAATGCACTGCCTGCTAGGTGTATGCTGACATCCCACCAGGCACATTCACACCTTCTAATGTGGAAGGCCACAAGGAATGCAGCATGTGTGTGATGTACATGTGGGCAAGAAGGCAGGACTGCAGATACTTTAGGTATACAAACAATTATATGTAGTGAAGCAGGAAGCACCCTGAGGAGGAAATTAAAACAAGCTTTTAATCTTCCTTGGAGCCTGTCTCTGCTCCCCCCAGTCAGATGTTCTACATTTTGCCCAGTATTGATCCATCCAGTCCCTGCACAACCACTGAATCAACAATGGGAAACATCAATGAAACAGGTGCCTGTTGGAGGTAGCTTTGTCCTTTCTCCATGTACGCAGCTCCACGGCCCATCTGCAGGAGAGCAGCTGCTCTGAGCTGGCCATGCCATTCCCAGTAACAATTGCCTGCTTGAAGAAAGGCAAGCAATCTAAAGGGGTTAATGTGCTACAGCTTAAACTGTTGTTTTTATCTTTCTAAAGAAAAAGAAAAAATTAAGTCATCTCCCAGGTGGTGCAGGAGTTTGATACAGGATGTTGTCAATGGGCAGGCCAAACACCTGAACTGGATCACACTTGCCAATGAGCTGGGCTGCATTAACCCCACAAAACCCTGTGTTTCAGACTAGCTTCAGGCATGGCCAGAGAGCTGAGGCCAGAGAAGTGTGCAAACTGCAATTTGAAGCACCCTGACTTGTCAGATTTGCCCAATGGTTGGTGCAGGATGGCTGTCACTGGCTCAATGGTCACACTCAGCATTGCTCTTTGCAAGAAGCCAAGTCCCTCATGGCTCTGTTTCCCTGCCACTCAGAGGGTGAGAGTCAGGTTGTTCACATGCTGCATGAGAAACGCTGCAGCAGTTGAAAAAGTGGGGTAAAAATATCTCTCTGTTCCTGGTCTTTTCCCAGCCTACTGTGCCGGCCACAGCACAGCTGGCCGTTGTGCTTAGCTCCCTAAATACTCTCAGCACAGTGCCAGTTTGGCTGCCAGCTAACATCTGGGCCATGGGAAAAGGGCAGGCAACAAACAGCAGGTCTCCAGATTCCCATCCTCCCTCCCTCCTCTCACAATCTGGCATGCAAAGGACCTTTCTCTCTTCCTGCAACCTTTCCCACAGAAGGAGCAAGCCCTTTGCAGCTTCCACCTCTGTCCCCTTCTTGTCACTCAGGCTGGGAGGAGGCCAAATGCTGGTGGGGATTAGCTGAGCTTTGGGATTTTGGAGGCATCTGATTCAAGAGCAGACTCCCAGGGCCCTGCCTATCTTCTCTCTCACCAGTGAAACACTGAAGTGGAGAGACTGTTGTAGCTCTTGGACTGGTCAGAAACAATTAGATTGCGAGAATGGTAAGGGAGGATGTTGTGAGTATTGTGGCCAGGAGCTGGAAAGGATGTTCTCTCAGGGCACGTAGAGGGATCAAAGAAGATTCCCAGTGCAGCTTAGGGAAGGTTCAGGTTCTCCATTGTGAAACCTCCAGGTCTTGCTATGATTAGTGACATTGTATGGGCTGGGGATTTTGATTTTTGGAAGGCGAGAAGCCAGATCTTCAGACCTTCTTGGTACTTCCAGAATATTTTAGCTCATATAACTACTTATTTTTTATTTTGCCATTTAAAAAAAAAAACCAAACTGGTCATGCTTTTTGTTGCAAAGCTGGAAACATGAGGTCCCTAAGGCAACATATAATTATTCATTATTGGAGACATAATGGGCCCATCAAATCGCCGGCACTGCTTGATGCATTGCATAAGCTGAGTGCACACCCAGAATACACAGAAAAGAGTGGCAAGAAGTAACAGCCTGTGACTGCAAAAGAAAGCAGATATTTTATTTTAAATTATGTGAGGCCTTTCTCTGATTTTAGGATATGGAGCTGCCACAGCTGGAGTCTCTGGCACTGGCAGTGGAGACCTGTTTTGGGGAATTAATTAAACTTTCCTCCCAGTGTAAGTGCTATAGGAGTCAGGGGTGTTTTACTCTCTTTCCAAATCAAACTCCCCAGCAGTTCCTACTGCTACTTCATTTTCAGTACATTCCTTTTTTGTATTCCTGTCCTCCAGGAGGGAGCCAGATCAATTTAGGAAAAAGAGATGGGGTTTTCATAGTGCTGGAGAGGCGCCTAGAGAAATAAGCCAAAAGCATATTTTGGACTCTGATTTGCAGCGCCCAAAACATCGCAGCAATATCACAGTGTCCCATCAAGTTGCAGGAACTGCTGGATCCCTCTTGGAAATCTAAGACCTGGTTCTTCTTTTGCTCCAAGTTAAAGCAGAAACGGAGGTACCACACTGACCCCAGGTATGGCACTCTGTGTGCAAAATTGGCACAGGGGCCACACTTTATTTGGTGCCCTCTAACACCAGAGCAAATTGTCCCTGTGAGCAAAAAATGTCATGTTTTATTCACTGCTCCGATGGTAAAAATGTTTCATGTTACGGACCGAACATGAAGTTTGCAGTGGGTTGCAGTGACCGAATGCTGTCGGCATACAACGAGTTCTCCTGCCTGGAATGGTTAATTCCAGCAGGAGAGCTGCTTGTGGCAAGTGATTTAGACAAGGAATGTCTCACTCAAGGAACCCCTTGGGGCTTCAGGGTGCCAGTTGTCGTTTTGAGGCATGGTGTGACAGGAGTCAATCCCAAAGCAAAGCTGGCAGATGTGTTTCTGCCTGCCTTTGTGGCAGCAAACACGCACTAAAAGACTCAGAAGTCTCCGTTCCCTGCCTAGGGACGGGCCCAGGGTCATGCTCCTGAGGGGATGTTCAAGCTGCAGCGCTGCAGGCCCCAAGGCCCAGCACTGCCGGCTCTCCGGGCTCCAGCGTGGCCTGAGCTCCTTCCCCACGGGGAGGAGAGTCCCTGCTCCTCGCTCAGACTGATGTGACGCTGCTCTCGCACTCCAGCCACGACTGTGTGCAGGCCGGAGGGACACTGCTCACCAGTCCCTGCTGACAGCCCTTCGTGCGGCTGCGGAACGGGAGGTGACAGCTCAGGGTGCTTTGGAGGAGCTGCCCTTGACCCTGCCGTGCCAGGGACTCCCAGCAGCTGCTGGGGCAGCTGAGGGGCTGCGGGGAGGGTGGCGGGAGCGGCAGGATGTGCCAGCACGGGAATGTGGCACTGAGCCCTCGTCTGCAAGCCGCTGCACCCCAAGGTTCCAGCAAGGAGGATTGGCTCCTGTTCAGTGCCAGGGACCTGCCAGCCTCACACGTGTGGCCCTGTGCCACTGCGTGCCTCAGGAGCTGGGGAATGACTGGAGGCACACACACGGGAGCATCTGTGGTGTTGCTGCGATTGTCTGAGGAGATGGGGAAGCACAGACCGCAGGGAGGGGCAAGATCTTTTCTGAACCCACTGCCACAGATGGAACAAGTGATTGTGCCCCCATCACACCCAGACACGAGCCCTCTTTCAGGAAATGCGTTTAGAGCTGCACATCCTTGAGCGGTTTAACTCCACAGTGGAGAGAAGTTGGACAGCAAAACTGCCAGAGCAAGGAGAATTTGTGTGCAGTTGAGCCAGTAATAGATCCTGTGGGAATCTGTTTCCAGCCTCGGGGAAGCCCTTCCAGACCACAGTCTGCCAAGGCTCCTGGAACAGACCTCCCTCCCTGATGCTTCCTGATCCACGTCACCACAAGGAGATGCCCATAGGCCTCGCTCCGGTGCCTCCTCCCCAAAGGAGTCATCCAGAGTGCCAGACACTGCATCTGCCTGTGTGCCTGGCTTGCAGTCCTGCCCTTTGCTTGCCCCTCAGTAAATCCAGAAAGTGGGGGGAAGAGAGAAAAATGCAAAAAGGTGACAAGGTCAAACATAAATCTCTCAGAGTTTCATGAATTGTACTTCCCTCCCTGCTGAGTCCAGGAAGCATTCTGCTTTTGAGCTGGATCATGCTGGAATACATGGGGGCTTTCAGAGATGTCCTACATGGAAATATACAGGTCACATGAACATATATAGGTACTGGGTGAATGGAAATTTGGATTCTGGAGAGTCCTTCCAGTCCATGTCTGCCTGAGGAATCTGGTTCCTATGGGGAGGCACAAGAAGATGGATGCAAGCAAATGAGTGATTAGTTCCCTCACCCTGACCTGCTCCTAGATGATCCTGAAGGGAAGTTTCATTTTTGCTGAACCTATGATCCTTTCACAAAGCTTAACAGCAGCTCCCAACCTGAATGAAGGCTATTAGGAGGACTCCCTCCCAAAGGGGGTCCCACTGGACTCACCAGATCCTTGGAGGTTCCAAGCCTTGTCAAGCCATCCAGGGGTAGCAGATCAGCAGAGTCCTTGTGCACAAACTGGGTGGCCTGTTTGAGGCGCCTCTTCTGTTGCAGAATAGCTTTGTTCCTCAGCTCCATCTCACACTCCTGTCGCTCCAGGTCAGGAGTACTCTCACTCTGCTTTTCCTCCTGGTCTTCTTGCCCCAGTGGCAGGGGGCAGCTCTTCCTTGTGCTCATGGTGAAGATTCAGACAGAGCAGGTCCTTCTTGGTATGCTGAGATGTTCCCTGAGCTCGTCTCCTGGTGTTTGCCCTCTGGAAGCTGACTCAGTCTCTGGTCTCCTTTCCCTTTCCCTTGCCCACGGCTCTCCTTCTCTTCCTTTCTCTGCCTTTCCTCCTGCTCTCTTAGTTATAACTCACCCATCTCTGAAGTGTCTCGGTGCCTGTTTCTCCCTCTGTCCTCTCCACTCCTCCGTGTCCCTCTGCTCCCGCCTCTTCCTCTCCCTCACTTCTCCTGCCCTGACTGCAGCTTTGCCTCCTCCAGTCCGTGGGTCCCTGTCGTAATAGAAAAAGCCCCGCGTCAGAAACCGCTTTCCATAAATCACGGCGGCGCCGGCAGGATGCTCCGGCTGGAAAAATCCAGCAGCAGGAGGATGGCCCCGCTGCTGGGGGCTGGACTTACCTCGTCGGGCGGCGCGCACGCACCGTGCGTGTCCGTGTGTGTGTCCGTGTGTGTGTCCGTGTGTCCGTGTGTGTGTCTGTGTGTGTGTCCGTGTGTGTCCGTGCCCGCCTGTCCCCGGCTCCGTGGGGACACGCTACAGCTCCCGGCGGCAGCCGGCGCGCTCCGCTGCCTCTGCCAGGGGGCTTTGACGCATCTCCGTGTCTCTGTAAATACTGGCGGCAGCCCGGGTCAGTCTGGAAGATGATGCAGTGCCTTGGTAAATGGGAGAGAGTATCCACCTCAAGGCTCCTGGCAGGCATGCCCAGTCTCATTTCTGCAGAGAGTGTCGTGCCTTTGCAATAGGCTGCACAGAAGGATTTTTCTGTGCAGCTTGAATGAAATGCTGAAGGTCTGGTTTCTGCTTCCAGCCAAGGCAAATGTATTGTGCTCGACTCTGCCCTCATTTTCACCCTACTCTATCAAGAGCAATCCCCTCCAATGTTGCAGAAGCCCAAAATCACTGGCTTGTTGATGCCAGTGGACTTGGCTCCCTGGTTACACCAAAGGAGTGCTGAGACTGCTGCAGTGTGGGGTGTCTGGACCAGAACAGACATCCCTTCTCTCAGGGGAGACAGGGCATGGTAGAGCTCCCTTGTTCAACTTTCTGTCTCCATATTGTCCTGCTTGAAACTGTGAATTTTAACTTGAACTGATGCTGTCTCATTTTGATACCTTTTCTCTGATTAATGCACTGCTCCATTAAGCATCAGTTCTGATATCATGAACAGTGGAGGCACCAAAACTTTGCTCAGCTGTGAAGCTAAGGACAGTATTAAGTTTCCAGGAAAGCCAGCAAGGGATGAAACAGCATTCATGTACAACACAGAGGAATGGCAGCAACTGACTACAAAAGTTACAGCAGAAGGACACTTTCTGTTGCTCCTTTTGTTTTGTTTTCTATCTTAGTAGTATGTAACATTCCAGTATTACTGATACCAATTATTTCTGTGTTCTAGATTGTGTATAAAAAAGTGAGTATGCAATATTAAGAAGCAAATCCAATACAAGGTATTATGGTCTCCACCAAATCACAGCACTAGATTTGTCAGGAATGGGAGTAGAAATACATTCTAACTGCTTTGTACTCCAGGGCCAAACTTTAATACCATAATGCAACAAGAGCTCAGAGGTGTTTTGAGCTGTCTTTATCTATCTGTGAGTCAAATTAAGAAGAGAATTTAGGTATTGGGTATTCCCAGGGAAACTGTGTTCCCACAGTCTTGTTTTCCTGCTTGTGGGCTGCTACACACACTTCTGACCTCCTGTGGCCCCACTGAGCATCCTCTGAGTCTTGTCATCAGGTCCTTTAACTATCCACGTAAACCAGAACTGGATCATGGACCTCTACTCTCACACAGGGCCAAGAGGTGCTTCCCCTCCTGCTGACTGAGTACCTCAGCAGGTCAGCCACAACAAGGCAGATGATAGTAGCAAGAGCATTGCCAATTTTCTTAAAGCCTCAGAATGGACCCTAAGACTGTAATGTGCTACAGAGCATCTTAGAATGAGATCACCTACAGTTCCTGCCTTGAAGCCTATGGGCAGAGTTACACAGTATCTGATGAGATCACCTCCCACCCTGGATGTCTGTGTGGGAATGAAGAGGAGGGAGCTCTCCTAGTTCCCAACTGAAGCTAGACACCCTGTATTAGTTTATTTGCACAGTGTTTTGGCAAAGCCTAATCAAATTGGTTTGCCTTGTAGCTGGGCTGGAGCCATTGCTTGAGCAGTTTTGCCTTTGGGTCTTACTAGTTAGTCCTGGTCCCTAAATCATCAAGTGTTTAATTCTCTGTGCCTCAAAGGGTAACAATCTTCAAATCTTGTTTAAAGCTTTCTCCCTTTCTTCATCCCTCAGCTTCTAAGTGCAGGTCACTTAACTCTTTATATCTTGTGATGTGTTAGCTCCCAGATCTGGCAAAAAACTCCAGCATTTTTATGGGGGTGAAGTCAGCTAAGGTATTATCATCTCCCATCAGAGGCATGCTAGGTTCTAGGTCACTGTTTTTTTTCTATTCAGCTATTACTTTTTCCATCCTGTTCTTTTTAAACAGAGCCCATTTACTAAGAGGGTTAGTTGATTTCTGATTCTCTCATTTTATTTTTACAATTTATTTTTCAGAATGGACACTCCTAGGGGTTTTCTAATGAGAAATCAGACCACAGTGCAGTAAATTTAAGGGGATTTTGCAGCAGTTATACCTTTCCCAGTCATCTTTTAGGCCCTGAAAAATAATGTATGACTCATCAGTAACCTGTATTAGAAAATAAAACTGATTTTGATTAAAATATTCATACACAATCCAATACACACTAATAAACTATTTTCTGATGCAGTTACATAAAATAATCATAACCCATTATACCTCGATATTCTGCACCCTTCATACAGAAATCTTTACAGGGTGTGGTAACAGTGCTATTTTGACAATAGAAGAAACACTCAGCCTCCAGAGAATATAAAAACCCTTCTCCCTACTCCAGCTACCAGCTAGGCGTTCCAGCTCAAGCAGTTACAGGTCAGGAAGAGCTGTGGGGAAAAATGTTCCAGGTTCTAAGCACTTTAGCTGTGTTTGTGGCTGATGGTCCCTGGACCTGATCACTTCCATGCCTGAGAAGCCCTGAAGAAAAGAGAAGTAGTGCCCTTACTTTTAAGGAAAGATACTGAAGAGCAGAATTTCCCAGTAGCCAGTTTGCCCAGCCAAGAAGCAAGACAGGATCAATATATTCCAGTCAGCTACTCCTCTGCTGGAAGAAATTCATTAGGTAGTACCTGGAGTAGTAAAGGGGAGAAACTGACTCCTTTGCTGAAGGAAGCAACTGGCAGATTAAAGAACGTGAGACAAAAGTTTTACTTCCCTCTCCTAGGAGCATTGGGGAGTATCCCAGCTCTTTGAGAAGCTGCTCTGTTGAGGGCTTCCACTGATTTGGCTTTAAATTTCTGAATTTAATAAATAAATACTAATAAATTTAATAAAGACTGAGGTCCTTCTGCCAGATATTTTCCCTGTATCTCACTTCTGGGAAGTTTTACCTAGCCTAATAACTCCTCTTTAAAATATTCTCCTGCTACTTTTGCAACTTCTAATGGTTCCTTTTCTTTGAGATTTCTTTTCAGCTTTGAATTTTTCTCTTTCAACAGTTTGGAAACCATTATTTTTCTCTCCTGAGATTTGACACAGTGCAGGTGGGAGGGTGGATTGTAGATGGAGAGCTTTACATTTCTTTTGTGACAAGTTGGGTGCTTACAGAGCTCAGCAATAGCCCCCACACAATGTAACCAGCACAGAAGTTGTTTTTACAGTACACCAGTTTCCAGTGCACTGTCTCAGTAGTAGTGTAATCTTCAAGTGGGTGTAAAAGTGACCCTGGGTGTAGCAACTATGTCAAAGCCAGGAGATTCCTTGTGGTGGATACTGCAGGATAACAATGAGGCAACTTTCTGCTCATTCTCCTGCATTCTCACAGCCTGCACAGTCTGTGGATGGATGCACAGATGGTGCAGAGGAGGAATGAGAGGACAAACCTTACTCAGGCAAACCATGCATGCTTTTCTCTCCCTTCCATCTCTGAAAAAGATTCTTTGAAGAAGAAAAGGTTCCTCTGCTTTGAATTCCCTCCAGTTTGTCTATTTGTATAATAAAATGCCTTTGTATTCTTGAAATAATGAGTAAAAGGTTGCAGTATTTATATCTGTGAGTATGTCTGGCAAGTTTCCTTGAGCTAAATGTCATCCCAGATGTACATAATGTTTAGCTCGGCTGCTGGACAGCAAAGTGTGTCCTGCCAGCAAGGTCAGTCAGAAAGTCGAATTGTTTGCTTGGTTAGGTAATTTAGGGTCAAGTCTCTCTAGTTATCTCCCTATAGGATAGATTTATGGCTGCACTGTGGCAAACTTGGAACAGTGCTGTCCAATATGAAATTCCTCTGCTGTATAAATATGTCTTGATCATTATAAATATAATGATGAATATAATATCATTATAAATATAGTGATTTGTGTCCTCTCTGTATTGATTTTTGTTTGGGCTAAACTGAATTAAAAAGGGGTCTTTTCTGTTTGGTTGAAATAGTTATTATTGCCACAGAACAGTTGCTGATCCTGCAGCAGGCAATACAAAATTTCCCCTTCCATTACACAGCTACACAAATCACACTAGAAGACTTTGGCTTTGTTTTCAGGAGGGGAAATCTCCACTGGTGTGCATCTCCACTGATGCACACAGCAATGGCAACTGTCTTATCTATGCTAGAGCTTCTCTGTGCTCAGGATTTGGTTTAAAGTAGAGAATAATTCCTGGTAGGAATATGCTTACCCATAAAAGTGTGCAAGAGCCTGAGATGAAGGATAGTTATGTCTTTAAGGCCGATAGCACAGTACTTGGAAATGTGCTGTCTCAAAGATGTCTCTCCTGTGTGTCTCATTTCACTGTCCCTCCACTTCCCACCCGTAGGGAGAGCAATATTTCCATTATCCACTTAGCTTGAGGCTAATAATGCACTTGACACTAACACAGGCAATTTTTTCTAAGTCTCTACATAATGCCATAAAAATAATAATGAACATTTTACACCATTAAGGCTCCTTCCAGAGAATGTCCCTAAAGCTGAATACTTGAACAGTAAAAGCACAGTTAGAGTTGCCTGGTAAAGCCTAATTTGGTATGCATATGTGTGGGCTTATTACTAAAACCACCTACAGAGTCTTGGCAAGGTGCTTTGAGTGGCTGTTTATGGGCTTCTATAACAACTTTTTTTTTTTTTTATGTAAAAGAACAAGAGGAAAGAAAAAAGACAATCACCTATACATTTTTTGCCTGTGCCCAGCTAACAGTAGAATCAGAGCAGATCTCATCTTGCTCAAAATCAAGCCCAGATATAGTCCTTGGAAGGTAAGAATCTCTCTGATGGCTGTTTTTGCCTCCAGTGTCATTTCCTTTGGGGAAAGGTTTTACCTTCAGAGTCCCCCATCAGATGCTGTGGAAAACTTCCTTATCAGCAGTTGCCAGGTGAACTGTGATGTTTCCTTTGTTTGCAAATGTCTTCTTTTGCACCTTAAAGCAGTTGAGATCAGTCAAGTTCTTCATCAGTCAGCAGTGTAACGTACTGAAATGAACTTAACCAGTGGGGGAGTCAGCCACTCTAAAGGGTGTTGCAGCCCACCTCCTGTTATCTTGTTCAGGCAGACTTTTATTTAGAAATTCAGTAATTCAAGCATCAGTGTTCACAGAGTAAATATTTAAAGTCATGCTCCTGTTGTGGATGGTTTTTCAGGGACAATACCTCAGTCCTGCTTAGTGAATTGGTGCTTTTTCCACAGTGTATTTTCTCCTTACTGCTACGTGCAAGGCACTGGGCCTATCCCTTGTAAAAGAGTCAAACCCAAGACCAGAAATAAGTATTTCACATCTCTCATGCTTTTCTGTGGTACCTGATCATTTTGCCCCAGTCTTACACCTGAGGACTATTGAATCTCTGATCCTTATCCACCCTTTGACTCTTTCTTTATGCTTTCAAACAACCTCAAGTTGTGCCAGTGGAGGTTTGAAATGAATTTTAGGAAAAATTTGTTCATTGGAAGGTTTATCAAGCATTGGAAAAAGGCTTCCTAGGGAAGTGGTTGAATCACCACCCCTGGAGGTATTTGAAATGTGTAGATTGTGACACCTAGGGACATGGTTTAGCTGTGGGCTTGGTTTTTCAGGTTAATGGTTGGACTTGATGATCTTAAATGTATTTTCCAACCTAGATGATTCTATGATTCTTTGTCTTCTGAACCCTGTCTCCATCTGGCTCTTTTAGACATTTTCTTCTTACCAAGATCTTTCTTTGTATCACCCCCACTGTACAAGCCAGCAAAAGTCCCTTGGACACAAGAGAGCTCATGTTGCCGTGCTCAGCTGCTGGAAGCCTCAAAGAACAAGTTCAGGACAGAATCTCCATACACTCCAGCAAGTCTGTGCTGGGGCACAATCTGTACTGAATAAGTCTCTTCTCAGATTTTAGTTGCCAGCTGACTCTGCTAAGGATGTGAAATAGATTTTTTAAAAGAATGTTTATAACAGCCAAGAACTGGAAAATTTTCACTCAACTCAAAAAGGGAAACCTCAAAGCCAAGAAGGACACCCTGACAAAAATCCTTACAAAGCAGGGAGGCACTAAGTCTTTTCAAGAAAAGGTTTACTACAAAGGGTTTTTTTAATCTGAGCAAAATATTCTTGTGCTCTCATTTATAGAAGCAATTGGGCTGCTTGAACTGTATTCCCTGTGCTCCCTGCCCCTTCTCTCTCCAGTAGAATAACTCCACCTGAGGCTGATACTCAGTATGGCTATTTTCTGCTCAGACAATTTAGGATTTTATGATGGAGTCACCAGGACAGTGGTACTTGTAGTGCAGAAGCAGCTTTGTGTACACAATGCACATACAGTGGCAGAGGGATGTATTATCATCCCAGGGATTTGATAGATAACAATGCTGCTGTAACAATGCAATTTTATTTTTTATTTTAAATACAGGACTCCTTTGCCTTCCTAGCCTTTAGGCTTCATTTGTATGTGCACCAGCTGTTTGTTACATTCTTGATGGCTAGACCTTGGCATGATTTAAATGGCAACTGAGACTATCTCATGGTCTCCTGCCTTCAAGATTTTAATAAAAACAGCAAATAAATAAAACCTGAGAGTGAGCCATGGGAAAGAGCAAAACAGCTCTTATCACTGCAGCATGCCAGTCCCATGGGTATGCATAGCAGAGTGCAGATTGTCAGGAACTAATTAGCTACAGCATGCAGCTCCTCAGATCAGACCATTCTGTGTCATTGACATCATTACTTGCAAATACTTGGAAAACCATATTGATGCTGAAGGCATCTTCAGTGATCCTGCAAGTTCCAAGGGATGTGCTTTATGGTGTCAGTTCTGCTGCATTCCTGACCTTTCTTCCCCTCATGGAGGGATTGGATTGGATACTAAATATATCAAATTGTCCAAAACTTTAAGGCTACCATGAAAGCAAGCAAAACTGCTTCAAACTGAAGCTTTCCTTAAGTGAAGCTTAAAGTGGAAAATATATTTTGATAACTCAGGACAGATTAGACCACCAAACTCATATAAATACTCCTAAATCAAGTGTTTCAGGGCTTTGCAATATACATTCATTATCCACAACAGAAATTTAAGCTGAAACACAGTTCCACAATCCAAGCTTTGTGCATAAGACAAACATGTAATCCCAGAATTTAGAATCTAAACATGTTCCTTTGTGAGAAAAGGATAAAACTGAGATGGAGTGGTCTGGCCTGTTGCATAACGATATGATTTAATGATGACTTTGTCATCGTTAAAACTTACAGAAAAATACATCAAATGTGAAAGAATATAGTGCATGAAGAAAAAATACCATACTGGTAGTGAAAAATATTATTCTATAGAAAATATCAACCATATTAAGAGATTCTTTGGAAGTCCAGTGAAGATGAGGTTCTTTTTGGAAAATTGAGGTTCTGTTGGAAAATTGGTCCATCCATTAGACAGTCAGGGTTCTAATGAGCCAGTCTCTTGTTTGTAACCACAGATGAGTACAGAAAACCTACCTTCTACAAATACAGCTAAATAAACAGAGGCCCTATTGGCTGCAACTTCCTATACATCCATGAGAAGGTAATAAAGACCAACAGGAGGCATTGGAGCATAAATCTATGTCTGACCGTAGTTCAATATTAATTTGTGCTGGCTGTTTTCCTTGACTTTCTTAAATAACATCATTAGATGTTTCTGGTTTTAAATTTGGTGCATTAAAAAAAAAAAAAAAGCAGATGTGGAAGCTAAATAATTCTAATTATATATTTGTATGCAAACAGTTTATCAGTGTGTTCTATATAATCACTTCCTACAAATTTTGAGATGTGGAAGAGAATCTGCCTTGCATAATCTTTTGCCTGTATTTTGTGCAAACTGTAACTGGTATTTATTATTTTTATTTATCCAAGAAATGTTGTAACTGAAATGCAAGGACAAATATGTCATTTGACCTGCATCAGCAGTTCAGATTCATGGTCTTGACATTCTAAAACGCTGCTTGTTTCAAAGCAAAAAGCCAGTCTGAGATGAGTAGTGAAGCAGGATTTTCTTCTCAATCTCAGGCAGCTAATACTTTGTTATGCCTTGAATATCTTTTTTTCCAGTTGTACTTCACCTCTTCTGGAAAAAGGGGAGTGGGGAGGGAAGTTATTTCTGTTCAGGAACCAGCTCACATTTTTCAAGCCTGTCATTTTTTTCTCTGAGCCTATAGTGCATTTTAAAGAGGAAGTAGGTATTTTACTAAAAAAGAAATTTTCACCTTTGTTAAGAGCTAGACTGCCCTCTGGGAGAAATTAAGGCCTGACATCCTCATAAAAATGTTTCTGCAATGTAAGACAGGGTCTCTTTCATACAGGGAAGTGATCAAGTTTTTCCTCTACCAGCCAAGTTGCAAAAGTAAAAAGGTGGCAAGCATCCTTGCTTACCTCATCTCAGGGGGCATCCAGTCCTTTTCAGCTGACAAAACATAGTGGGAGGAAACCCATTCAACTAATGAAAGGGACTTACCGTCTCCTTTGAGTCTGTCACACTCCTGGTATCAAGCAGAGTTGTCAGAGGAGTAGATCAGCCACTGCACTTGCTGGCTCCCTGTAGATTTGAATGTCCTAGATCCCTTAAAATTTTTATCTTAAATTAATGTTTGCTTTTACAGGCTAGAAGGTGTTAAATGGCTTTGTCTAATATCACAACTCAAGGACAGTCCTTGATGCTCCTGCACATTACTCAGAGAAGCCCTGTGAGTGCTGTGCAAAGGGTATGGAGAACTGTGCCTTCCTGCTCTAGGGCTCGAGAAGACGTAAGTATGTGGTTCTGCTCTTACTGCAGTAGGGTGGACAGAGGCATCCACCATCTGACAAGATCACACCTCTGCATTCTAA